GAGTTGTTTGACCAACCATTCATTCCAACCAGTTTCTGCATCATTAAGAAGTTCTTTGACCCAGTGTATGTGTCATCTTGCAATTTCTAACAGGAAGGCCTTGGGCTGCAAAGATGAAGGAATCCAGTTTACATCATGAAGTCTAGCAAATTCACCATTTCTGATTTCCACTGCAAATCCCTTAGGAAATATAGGGACAATTTCCAACCAGTTAGACCAGAACAAAGAACATTTTTGAGTTTTGACAGCAGAAAAAATGGAACAATCTAGAAAGTATCTATCTCTCAAGATTCTGCTAACAAGCAAGTTAGGTTGAGTTGTTATTCTCCAAAGTTGTTTGCATATCAGAGCAATGTTGAAATTCTTCAGATCAATGAAGCCCATTCCTCCTTCTGATTTAGGCAAGGTAAGAAAATCCCACCTTTTTCAATGGATGCCTCTGGCCTGTTCTTCTCCTTTCTTCCACCAGAACTGAGAGCATAGTCTAGTGATATCAGCACAAAGAGAGGCAGGTAGTCTGAAGCAAGACATTGAGTAGATTGGGAGGGATTGGATAACAACTTTGAGCAGAATTTCTTTGCATGCCTGGGTGAGGAGTTTTGACTTCCAACTGTTTAGCTTTGATTGAACAAAGTCAAGGACAAATTGGAAGGCTTGGATTTTAGATTTACCAATCCCAAGTGGCAGACCGAGGTACCTTGTTGATTTGTGAACATAAATTCCTTGCATAGTGTCATAGATTTTCCCTTGAAGACATTGAGGTGTATTTTTGCTAAAGAAAATGGTTGACTTGTTCAGGTTGAATCTCTGCCCTGTAAACAATCTGTATCTCTCTAGAATGTTAAGGATTTGAGCTGCTTGATCATTCCCAGCTCTACAGATAATGAGAGAATCATCTGCAAAAAGCAGATGAGATATAACTGGGCCATTTCTAGAAAGTTTAAGTCCAATCAGGTCACCTGAGTCAACAACATTAGTGATTAAAGCAGAGAGCATTTCAGCTATAATGAGAAAGAGACAGGTTGACAAGGGGTCTTCCTGTCTTATGCCCATAGTTGGTATAACATGTCCACTAACAAAACCATTCAATTTGAAGGAGAAGGAGCTAGAAGAAATGCATAGCATGATCAAGTTAAAAAATTCCAACTAAAAGCCCATTTGCAGCATGATCTTCATAATGCATAGCCATTCTACTCTGTCAAAGGCTTTCATCAGATCTAATTTTAGGGCCATGAAGTGGTTTTCCCTGATGTATGCCTATTAAGGAAGTGGAAAGCTTCTTTTCCAATAATTACATTATTAAAAACTTGTCTTCCTTTGAGAAAGGCGGACTGTGAGTGGCTGATGCAGGAATCCAGATAGCTCTGAAGCCTTAAGGCAATCAACTTAGAAAGAATCTTGTAGACCACAGTGCACAGACTTATGGGTCTATATTGAGAGAGTATATCAGGGTTTGGACATTTGGGAATCAAAGTAAGAGTAGTGTGGTTCCAGTATTTAAGAAGAGAACCATTTCCTTCAAAGAAGCTTGATATGACATCAATTAAATCAAACTTAATAAGATCCCAAAAAGATTGAAAGAAGAGGATGTCATACCATCTTCACCTAGAGATTTCTCTGGGTTGAGACTGAGGAGTGCCAAGTGCATTTCTTGCTCTATGACTTGTCTTAGAAGATTTTGGTTCATAGCTGCAGTAATGGAGAGGGGAATCAATGGGAGAAGAGCTTCTCCACCCCAAGATCCTTCAGATGAGAAAAGGTTGGCATAAAAGTTGGAGATGTGGTCAGCTATGTCTTGAGGAGTTGAGCAGATCCTTTGTTTTATTTTAGTCAATATCAGTCATATTGTTGTTTCTAGAGTTACAGATCACTGACATCTGATGATTATTATTTATTATGATAATGGTGATAATGAATACAATTCATCCTTATATTTATACAATTCTCAGTAGTCTCAAATACATCAATACACCATGTATTTATACTATAACCCTACAAGATTTTAATTTACTTAAATACCCCGTACCGTACCGCGGGGGCTCCGCTCCCTCACCCCCGGCCCAACTAATCGACCCAGCCCAACAGGGGCTGATGCCTGCTCGCTCCACTCCGCTCACTTCGCTCGGTCGCTCCACTTCCCTCACTACATTCGATCTGTTACGCTCGCAGGCATCAGCCTGCCTCCTTCATTTGTTAATATATTAGCCATACCAACAAATCTCCACCTTGGCGAATATATCACCTCCTTAGGAGAACACAATAGCGAGCACCTCTGCGAGACACACCAACCAGGCCGGGGGTACCATGCAACTCTAGCATGCAGAAACATTCAACAAATCCAAGCAATGCTTGAATTTGTCAGAAGTAACAGTCTTAGTCAACATATCAACAGCATTCTCTTCAGTATGAACTTTCTCCAACTGAATATCACCAGAAGCAATCCATTCCCTAATCTTGTGGAACCTCACATCAATTCGTCCTAGCATGATATATCTGATTCTTAGCCAAATGAATGGCACTCTGACTGTCACAATGTACTAGAACTCCACCTTGCTGAATACCCAACTCTCTAACCAATCCAGCAAGCCACACTGCTTCCTTTTCCGCTTCAGCCAAAGCAATATACTCAGCTTCCGTTGTAGATAGAGCAACTATAGGCTGAGTATTCGGCCTCCAACAAATAGGCCCTCCACCAAAAGTGAAGACATACCCAGTGGTAGATCTCCTATTATCCAAGTCCCCAACATAATCAGAATCCACATATCCTACAACCAAAGGATCCAACCGCTGATCTCCAAACACAATACCATGTCCCGCAGTACCTTTCAAATATCTGAAAATCCATTTGACTGCCTCCCAATGCTGTTTACCCGGCCTAGACATATACTTGCAAACTTGACCAACAGCATGAGCTAAATCAGGACGAGTACATACCATGGCATACATCAGACTTCCAAAAGCACTGGCATAAGGTATCTCCACCATATCCTGAGTCTCCTTGTCCGACTTGGGGCACATATCAACAGAAAGCTTGAAGTGGTTTGCTAATGGAGTGCCCACCGGTTTTGCTTCATTCATCCCAAACCTCTGTAGCACCTTCTCCACATAACCCTTTTGAGATAACCACAGCTTCTTTGATCCTCTATCCCGATGAATCTCCATCCCAAGAATCTTCTTCGCAGCCCCCAAATCCTTCATCTGAAATTCCTGACTCAAAAGGCTCTTCAGATCAACAATATCACACATATTCTTAGCAGTAATAAGCATGTCATCAACATAAAATAATAGAAAAATAATAGAACCATCACCAAGGCTCTTAGTGTAAACACAACAATCGAACTCACAACGCTTGTAGCCAATCTTCAGCATATATGAATCAAACTGTATATTCCACTGCCGCGATGCTTTCTTCAAGCCATACAAGGATTTCTTCAACCTGCAAAATAAATGCTTCTTCCCTGGTTGAACAAAACCCTCTGGCTGCTGCATGTAAATAGGCTCTGCGAGATCACCATGCAAGAAAGCAGTCTTCACATCCATCTGCTCCAAATGCAAATCCCAACTAGCCACCAATGTAAGTACAGCCCTGATCGAAGTATGTCTAACCACATGGGAAAATGTCTCATCATAGTCAATCCCTTTTTGCTGTGAGTATCCTTTAGCCACCAATCGAGCCTTGAACCTTTCCCCCCTTTTTCTGTTACTGATGACTTTCTTGTGTAAATCCACCTACAACCAATAGATTTTTTCCCTTCGGGAAGAACATCCAACTCTCATGTCTGATTCTTGTGTACAGAATTCATCTCTTCTTCCATGGCAGCCTTCCATCTATCACTGTTCTCAAAAGAAACAACCTCTTGGAAAGTACAAGGATCCACACTAGTGATCGTAAGAGCAAATGCGACCATATCTTCATAACCAAACCTGACCGAAGCTTGTATATTGGTACGCCTCACTCTATCCCGAGCTAACTTGTAGCTCTCTGGCACATCAGTTGGGCCAGAAACATCATCATCAGGTGTAGAACTCAAACTCTCTCCCTTATCAAGAACTGCTGGAACAGGTTCCAACTTTACCTGTACTTTATCTCCATCTGATCCCAACATAGATTGTTCATCAAACACTGCATCTCTACTAATCACCGTCTTCTTCTCAACCGGATCCCAAAACTTGTATCCCTTCACACCTTTCTTATAGCCCAGAAAAGTGCACTTCTATGATTTAGCATCAAGTTTTGACCTCTCATCAGTAGGAATATGAACATAAGCAGGACAACCAAAAATCTTCAGATGATCAAAACTAACATCATTACTTGTCCATACTTCTTCTGCAACTTTTCCATCCAGAGATGCACGTGGTGATCTGTTAATCAAATAACAAGCCATACTTACAGCCTCAGCCCAGAAACTCTTTGGCAAACCCGCATTTAGTCTTAAACACCTCGCCCTCTCAGCTATTGTCCGATTCATCCTCTCAGAAACACCATTCTGCTGTGGTGTTTTACGCACTGTAAAATGCCTTTGAATCCCATGCTCCTCACAAAACTTCTAGAACTGTGAATCGGTGTACTCTGGACCATTATCAGACTTTAAGTACTTGATCTTCCTACCAGTCTGGTTCTCCACCTCAGCCTTCCATAGCTTGAATTTAGCAAAAACTTCAAATTTTTGCTTCATGAAATACACCCAAACTTTCTTCGAAAAATCATCAATAAAGGTCACATAGTACACAGAACCACCCATCATGTCACTCTAGTAGGATCCCACACATCTGAATGTACATAATCCAGAATTCCTTTTGTCTTCTTCTTCCAGTCTTGAAACTGACTTTTGTCTGCTTTCCAAGAACACAAAACTTGCAGAAATTGAGTTTGCAAGTTTTAACACCATGCAGAAGCCCCCTCTAATGCAGTTCAGTCATGTCATGTTAACTAAGATGTCCAAGACGCATGTGCCACAATTTCGTGCTATCTTCACACGACTCCACCGAATGGAATCCACCTACAACTGCACTTCCCACAGTTTGTAAATGTTCCCTGCAGTGATCCTCTCCTTAATCACAGTCAAGGCACCCTTCACAATCTTAATGGTTTCCCTATCCTCATCAGCCTTGGGAATGAAACCATTTTTATGCAAAGTACCCAAAGAAATCAAATTCTTCTTCAACTTATGTCTCACATCACATAATGTCCTAACAGTTCCATCATACATCTTGATTTTGACATCCCCAATACCGACAATACCGCAACATCTATCATCATCAAGAAAAACAGAACCCGAGTTACCTGGTTCATAAGTAGCAAACCCCTCTCTGTTAGGCGTTATATGATATGAACATCTAGAATCGAGAATCCAAGCATCATCATACTGCGCAGTCGAAATAGATAACATATCTCCATCACTACAATCAAATTCCTCATTCTGTACCACATTCGCAGACTTAGATGACATATCAGCAGTCTGTTTCTTCCACTTTGGGCAATCCCGTTTAAAATGCCCTTGTTCTTTGCATTTATAACATGTCACAGTTTTCCTCCCTTTCGATTTGTCCCGCGACTTGGATCTGAAATTCTGATTTCCTGAATTATCCCGCACCTGTCTTCTTCCACGATCTTGGTTACCCTTCACATATAAGCTGTTACTTTGAGAAGATGACTCTCCAGATTTCTGTTTCCGCTGGTTGTGAGCCAACAACGCTGAAGTAATCTCCTCAGTCTTGATCGTTTATTTCCCATATGTAAGGGTAGTCATCATATGTTCGTAAGAAGGAGGTAACGAACACAGTAAGATCATCGCCTTGTCTTTATCTTCAATCTTGACTTCGAGTGAAGCCAAATCCGTGACAACCTGATTGAAGATATTCACATGTTGCCCTAAATCGGTCCCCTCCTGTATCTTCAGCCCGTATAACCTCTGCTTCAGATACAGCTTTGTCGTTAGGGTTTTCGACATGAACTGCGATTCCAGTTTCTTCCATATCTCATCCGCCGATTTGAGATGCATAACGTGATACATAACTTCATCTGCAAGGCACACTCGAATCGTTCCAGCCGCCCATTCCTGTAGATCTTGCCAATCAGCGTCTTCCATTCCTTAGGCTTGCGTGCAGCCCTTTCTGAATTCCTTGCTGCGCCAATAAATCTCTTACTCTCATCTGCCATAATCCGAAATTGTCATGACCATCAAATATCGAGACCTCGAATTTCGATCCTCTCGTCATCTCCGTCGCCCAATCAACTAGGCTCTGGTACCACTTGTTGAGAGAAGATGACAATATGGCATACGAATTAAAAACGAGAAAAGTAAACAATACAAGATTTACGTGGTTCGGCAATGTGCCTACGTCCACGGCGGCTGAGGGATCTTTATTATTCTCAATAGTTTCAAATACATCAATACACCTTGTATTTTTACTATAACCCTACAAGGTATTAATTTACTTAAATACCCCGTACCGTACCGCGGGGGCTCCGCCCCCCGCACCCCCGGCCCAACTAATCGACCCAACCTAACAGGGGCTGATGCTTGCTCGCTCCACTCCGCTCACTTCGCTCGGTCGCTCTGCTTCCCTCACTACTTTCGATCCATTACGCTCGCAGACATCAGCTTGTCTCCTTCCTTTGTCAATATATGAGCCATACCAACACATATAAATAATTAATTTGTGTTTATAATTATATTGGAATTTGCACTTCATTTTCCTTTGCTAAATAAATGCTTCATCTACATATATTACCATGGAATTATTTTTGTTAATTTCTATGTACTATTCACCATTCAAACAATACAGTAATTATTCGTTACAAATAAATACTTATTTTAGTTATAGTTAATTATTGTGAATATGCTTTACAAATGTCTATTAAATATTTTTTGCTTTGTGAGTGACGTAATTATTTTTTACAAATAATATAAGATATTATACATAATTATATATTATGAGTTCTCATTCCAATATCCCACTTATTGCTTGTCTCTCTTCCCATTTGTGAGTATAAATTCTTTTTCTTATAATATTTTTCTTGTAATAAAAATTGTCAGTCTCATTTAATTAATCATTAAAATAAATTTTAAAGTAAAATATGTGTTTAAAAGCATTTCATTTTTGTTTGAAATATCGAACATAATATATTTTTTTTGGTTATATTAGGAATATTTTAAGGTAAAACAGAATAAAAAAGTCATAACTAATATGACAACCACATGTAATATAATAAATAAATATTTAATATAGTTTTTTAATTTGGTATATATAGTGCATATATATAAATAACCTATTAAACTTGATATGTCAACTTACGATTTTATGTCATTTATTTTAACATACACATGTTCAAATGTTACATATAAATATTAATAGTAGCACCATGTCACATTTGACACATATGCGCAGTTATGATAAAATTTACGTACACATTAAGAAAATATGTAATAATCTCTTATTAATATAACAATTTATTATTTTATATCTTTATATAATTCTAAGAAATTACAATTTGATCAATAAATTATTGGCATCGAGTACCTCATTTCTAAACAAGATATTTTAATTTAAATTGTAAAAAAAAAAAAATCTAATCATTCACAAACTCTGATATGAGCTGGAGTAAGGGTTATGTATCGTTCATTTTAACAAAAATGCGAACTTAGACTTCTAAAATTTCATACTTATTTTATTTTATAATATATTGTCTTAAATAATAAAGAAAACGCAGATAAAATGAAAACTAGTGTTGGTGTGAGAACCTTGAGAGCCATTTTTGATGTCATTTTAATTGTGTAAGATGCTATTAATATTACATGGTGTTATTATTTTCACACATGCTAATATAAAATTATGTTGCTATTTTTATGAAAATATATCCTGGTTAAAAATAGTACCACAACACAATCAATCATAATAGTAGATGCAATTAAAAATAGGGGTTCTCACGCTAGGACTTGGTTCTCATTCGAACCGCATCATATATATGTGTGTGTATATATATATACACACACATAGAGAGAGAGATAGAGAGAGAGAGAGAGAGAGAGAGAGAGAGAGAGAGAGAGAGAGAGAGAGAGAGAAGAGAGAATAATGAAGCTATAGTTATCATAAATAACATAATTTATTAGACTAAAAGGGATGTATTATTCAAGAAAAAAAATCATGTATAATTTTGGGGTTTACATGGGTAAAAGAACTATATGGATGTAATTTTCATTTAACAATAAACCATGAAATGAAAATAATGAAAAAAAAAGACATCTTAGGATTAAAAAATGACATGAAATTTGAATGAATTTTATAGATAAACAATAGATTAATATTTCAGAACTTATTGTACAAAGTAAAAAAAAAAAAAAAAAACCACAAATGATAGCGTACAAAAAAATAGATATGAAATCATTTCAGACAACTCATGGAATTGATAGTGAAGACTGAAATAAAAAATGCATATATATCATTTTTTTCTTCAATAAATTTTCAACTATATATCAGGTCGTTTCATGTTGGTTTTTGGTATTTTTTTATTTTTAGTTGATATAATTAGATTTATTTCTGAAAATTTTGAAGAGGTTACTTAAACACATTCGCATAAATTTTTGCCTTCATTTTTTTTTTTTTTATTGCTCCATATTTATACAAGTATAAGTTTTCAAGGTATAACTGGTTAATTTTGTTGTTAATTTTTTATTTCTTTTTTTTTTCTGGAACGATAAAAATGATATATAAAAGGCACAAAAGTATAAGAGTACAACCATCAGCTGAATACACACCCAGCCACCAACTGAATAAAATTGGGAGGACAGGTCATAAGACCTGCCTAGAACCGACTCTACCAGGGTAATACCGTAACAACCCAAAAAACACAATCACTAAAACGACCCAAAAGGGTAAAAAACTCGACATTAAAACGACCCCAACAGGGTAATGCTCGAGCGTGGGATCCCAACAGGAAAATAAGGTCACGCTAGAGCGAACCGGGGCCAACGGTCCAAACCTAAGAAACATCAACAACAGCAACACACAACTAGCACAATACAACAACAACGACAAAACACCTACAAGAAACAAAACAAACAGAAACTAAACAATTGGAGCCCTTCCTCGTTGCACGACCTAGCCCAACCGGCAGTGAAGCGATTGACACAAGATGGATTCAAGGTCCAGGAGCCGCTACAGAAACTGCAGAAGGCCTATATAGTAGGTTAAACTGAACCCTAAACCCATCCCCGAATCGACCCGTCTTTGACCGAGAAAGCCGCAAACAACCCCCACACCGGTGCCACCCGAGCTAATCTAACACCATTAGACGAGACGGATAGCACCAAACCCCGACCGCCTAACACCACTAGCCGAATCGGGAGGGTGAGCGATGCTCGAGCCTTCAACCCCAACCACCGCAATGTGAGCCGCCACAACCTTCAGGGTCCCTCCCCATCCAGCGATGCTCGCCCCATCTGACCCCACCACAGCAAGCCGACGACCAGGGATCGGAGCCCCACCGGAAAGATAGAGCCCCGCCATGAACGGCCAAATCCAACCCGAGCGGACAAATGCGAGAAAAGGGGACTTACCATCTCCCGACGGTACTTTGACTACGTTAGAAGAGAGAAAACCAGACTCAGGGCTGTCGCCGACCAGAAGAGGCACTGCCGCCTGTGAAAGCCCCATCCGCTACGGGAATTGGGACCGTAATCGCCTCCATCCACGGTGAATCGAAGGAGCGAAACGGTAGGGGGGGAGGAGGAGGACGGTCAAGACGACCCCTGGTCGTGCATATGCCGACGAGAAGGAAGGCCAATCGGCCGGATTATGAAGCGAACCTCAAGAGCAGAGAAGGGATTTTGGGTCGCGAGAGCAGAGAAGAGTTATTACAACTTTGCAATGTTCTATATCGTATATTGTTTTATTAGGAATGAAGATAAATATGTATCATCTTTATAAAAACATTGAGACATATAAAATTCTACAACTTACTATAAATGCAACGCATTTTTTCTTCAACATACATCACAATTGCTAGTTTTACTTTTTATTGTTTTAGACTTATATTATTATTATTATTATTATTATTATTATTATTATTATTATTATTATTATTATTATTATTATTATTATTATTATTATTATTATTATTATTATTATTAAATACTTCATTATTGTTAGTTGGAAATAATTTTGTATTCGTTAGACAAAAAACATAACCATTAGTTGCAAGAGAGGTAGACTGAAAAGTGACCAGAAGCTGGGTATGAAATCGCCGGAAGATCGTTATGTTTGCCACAATATTTTTTGCAGAGTGGTCTTTGAAAATGAAGATGGTGAAAAAATGAAAATGGTGAAGGTATGTGTCTTTTGTAGTACAAAAAATGGGAGCACAAGCGTCGAGGTCGTAGGTGAACTATTGGATCGTGTCGTCTCCGTGGTCTAGATATTGATCATGGGAGATGAATGGGACTGATGTTAAAGGTCTGAACTGGGTAAGCATTGATCTGGCAGAAGATCAACGATCCAAAATGACAAGAGTGTCCTAGGGTTTGAAATGTTTCTGATGGGCGTGATTCCTTAGGTCGTCAAATAACTGACATTTAAGACTGAAAATACAGATTTGGTGCAGTAATGAGACATCATTCTTGCACAGGTCCTAGCAAAATAGCTCGGTGAATCGGCCCGAGTGGTTAGCTTGGGTATGGCCGGTTCAGAGGAGCTTCAACTCAGTATCAACGTTACCTCATCAGGGAGCTCGCTTAGGCAATCCAGTAAATGAGGTCTGATATGTATTATTGACATAGGCATAGATGGTACATAGCGAAATAATCTTAGACGGGCACATTTCTTTGTGGTAAATCGTATTGTCAAGTATACTGTAACTGGATTAAGGGTAATACTTTGGCTTACCATGCAAAATAAATGCAACCTTTGGGTTAAAAGGATTAGAATTTCTAATCAAACATGAACAATAATTAAAAACTATCTCGAAATTTGTATTTAATTGTGAGGTTGAGCCAATTGTATGGAGGAATGTCAAACGGTAATTTGCTGACGGATTCTACCATGGAAACTAATTTCGTCGCGAGCTGATTAGATACAAACAAGAGAGGTT